TACCGTAAATATATCAAAACGTAATTTTTGATTAGTAATATGCATTGCTAAGACCTTCAGCTGTACAACTTTACAGGCGATTTTCTCAATATTTTGAATTTTTTTTTTTTTTCTGCACCCTCAGATTCCAGATTTTCAAATAGCTATATCTCAGCCTAGGGCTGGACAATAATTCAATATCAATATGTATCGCGATATAATTTTTTCTCAGCCAAATATTGTCCAATCCTAACAAATCAACATACAGCTTTCAGATGATGTATAAATCTCAATTTCATAAAATGTGTGGTCCAGGGTTACATATAAAGACGCAAATAGAAAAGGCACAATAAAATAAAAACTTAAATGTGTACTTTGGATGTTTTCTTGCCACTAAGAAACACAAACTAACCTAACATCTCCAGTGTATGAAAAAACAATGCGTCACACTTTATGATTGCAGACTTGAGAGAAACATGTTTATGACTGCATTGAGTCATAATCACGGCAGCTGACCTTCCCTCAGACACTTGAGGGGTTAAATCTGTTCTGAAACTGAGATTGATTGTTTATTTACCCCCCGTGTGCTTAGATTTTCTCTTCTTCAGTGTCTAACTCTGACTCTCTGTCACATGTGCGTGATGTTATGAACTTTTAAAGCTCGCAGGAGCGACTAAAGTGGCCTAGTTTGACTCGTGTTGTCAAAAACTCAGATCTCACCTCCTCGGCGCTTTTCCTCAGCGCTTTTTCGCGCTCGTACTGGGTAATGAGTTGCTCGTTGTCCTCCTTTAGCAGCTCCAGCTCCACCTCATGCTCCTGATTCTCCGCGAACACCGAGTCCAAGTTCTCCAGAACCGCCACGACGAGCGGCATAAGTTCCTTCACCACGTCTTCGTCGTATTTACCGATCATCCGCTCGAACTCGCGGTAGATGGAGCTCGCCAAGCCGGACACCCGCTCGGACATCATCGCCGAAGAGCCTGGGTCCTCCTGGTAAAGTACACCGTCCTCTAACTCCATTTTCCTCGTTTTATCCCGCTGTCTGGACCTCCGACGTCTTACTTTAAGACGCTCTCCTCTCGCTAGCAGCTCGCTCGCTAACTGTCCAGATCTCTATTTACTTCGCGACGTCTGTTTGCTGCTGTTAGACTACATTTACGAGTAACTTTTAGGAAACCACTCCAACGTAAAGAGAGAGAAAATCTGCTCCGTTGCCGAGCTAACCGTGTCCGGTCCTCGGGGACAGTTATTTGACCGGGTTAATCTGCACTAAACAGCGGTGGTACAGTCCTGACAGGAGACGACTAGTGGACCTAACCGTCACATGATGACGTCACGCCCCAGCAGCGCGAGGGAGGGAGAAGCGATCGATGCACCCTGTAGTTTTATTTTTCTAGTTTTTTTTTATTTCTTTTTTTATTTCTTTTGTTCTACATTGTGACTGCTTTTATCTTTGTCTATATAATGTTCTTAATTAAAAAAAAAAAAAAAAAACAAGCGATCGATGCTGTTTGTTGACAGCCTTGAAACTTTTGCTTTCTGGTCGGTTTATTTGACTCTAGCAGTTGGCGTTTAAATATTTGCATATTTAAAATGTTTGCTTTTTGATTGAAAATCACATTTAATGTTCTGCACGTGTCAAGAAGGAATCAACAAGTTTTTTTACAAACTGTTTTCACGAACTATATAGATAAATAAAC